AAAGGTCCAAAATGGTCAAACGTAGCCCCAGGCAGCTCCCACCCAGGGCACTGAGTGGCAGGGGGGGAGCCTGGCTTTAGGACGGCTCATCTGGCCTTTCCTGAGTTATCAAAAGTGTTTCAGCTCGAAGGGAGTTTGCCAGTTTGCGACTCAGGGTCTTACATACCGATACATCTGCTTTGCCGGCTGCAGGCCTGTGTAATCCTTGGGGTCGTCCCATATAAAGGAGCAATGTCCCAGATCAAGTGACTCCAGTCTGGGGAAGTTTTTTATAGTGAACGAAAGGACAATTTGATCAAATTGGTTAAGATTGACTCCTCGGAAGTACATTCCTGTGAAATGATCCAAAGCAGTTGTCACAAAACGCTCGTCTTGGATTTCATATAAGCACTGGCAGAGCTCCAGCTCCCGAATCACTGTGGTCTCCTGCGTAAGAACAGCTAAGGCATTTTTTTGGCTTTCCTGAAGCCATGTGAGTAATTTTTGCGTAATCTTTGGTGAAATTTTACACCCAGTTTCCTTCTGCAGAGTATTTCTTCGTTCCTCATTTAAGAGACCAAACAGGAACCGCACAGTTAACATGAAGTAGTTCCTCGAGTTGCTGTAGTTCTCTAGCAATTTGTTCACATCCCTCGTAGGATCAGCTGGAAGCATCTGTGCTTCTCCTTCATCTTCAAGTAGATAAAAGAGAGCAGCGAAAAACTCCTGGAAGCTGAGGTGGATAAAGCTGTAGGTGCTGATGCAGTCGATGTCTTTGTGGAAGGTGTGCTCATTGAGGAGGAGCGGGAGGACCTTTCTGTCTTCCAGCGCGTACTCATGCACCTCCTCCTCCGTAAACAGGACTTTTTGCTTCCAGACCCCATCAGCAGCCAGGGAGCACAGCCTCCGCAGCACCTCGGGCATGCTCTGCTTCAACTCGCTGCTCAGCGAGCTGAGCAGCGCGGAGAGGTAGAGAATATAGATTCCCGTCATGGTCTTCGTGCTTTGCGTGAGATCCCTCTTTCTGCTGAGCTGTTGCTTCATGACAGTACAGATGATCCAGCACATGATGGGCACGAGGCACATGGTGAAGAGCGTTTCGTTCCCTCGGACAAACTGAAAGGCTGTGGCCGCCTGCTCCCTGTTTTCAAAAAACTTGTGGAAATACTCCTTCCTCTCTGCCTCAGAAAAGCCGAGAATTTCCACGTGGCGCTCGCACTCCAGGCCCTTGCTGAGTTTCTGCAGTGCGGCTGGCCGCGTGGTGATGAGCAGCGAGCAATCATGGAGAACTGTTTTCCGAAACAGGCTGCTCAGGATGATGTCCACTGGCCTCTTCTCCCAGGGCTGGGAGCACAGGTCGGCCTGAGGCCGATCAAAGGAAAAGCGCAGCTCATCAAAGCCGTCGATCACAAACAGGAGCTTCTCTGGGTTCTTCAGCATCTCGGTGAGTGGGGGAAAGCCGCTGGGACAGCACCTGGAGATCAGGTCTTCCACGCTCGCCTCGCTGGTGAGAAGGTTGCCCTCCCGGCAGTGTATGTAGAAAACATAGTCAAACTCCACAAACACCTTGTCTGACGCCCAGTCCAACATGATTTTCCTGGCAGTCATCGTCTTCCCGATGCCTGCAGCTCCCAGGAGCACTACGACCTTGGGGGTCCACCCATCCGGGCTGGGCTTAAAAAGGTCGTCTACAGTGACAGAGGAGTTGGCTTGCTCCTTCATGATCTCTGTGTGCCTCCGGCCCATGGCCATGATCTCATGTTCCCGCTGCTCTTCGTCTCGGTGTTTATTGACGATCACAAGCTTTGAGTACCTGTGGTTCAGGCTCACTTTATCACCGACACGGGCATTTCGGTCCTTCATTCTGCTGTAAGCGTTGCGGATATCCTTTTTGTAATTCTTCTTATAATCTGAAATGGTGACAGGCCACATCAGAGTTTCAGGAAACATTTCACATGATGTCTGTCAATCTTCTGATGAAAACGCCATAACAGAAAAATGCAGGTTTCGTGTCGCCCCGCATCCTGTACAACCCTTCTCATGGCAAAGCCCTCCTGGTCACTCAGGAGGGCTGACCACCACCTCCTCCGGGCGATGCTCAGGCGAGGGGCCTGCAGACCCAGTTTGATGCCGGTTCCCCCCCAACCTCAGCACCCCAGGGCTGCCGATGCCAGTGGCACCGGCACCCCGCCCGCCTGCCCCGACGGTGCCTACCTGATACCGACGCAC